GTGAGAAACATTTTATCTTTCACAAACTTGAGAGGTTTGGACTGAGAGCTGATTAGCTGAGTGAGAGTGGTTCTCTTTTTTTTCACTTTTCTATCTAAAAAAAAGATGATCTAAAGATGTGACAGAGGCCATTTTTCATGCATCTAAAAACTAATGACTGAACAATTGTTTTCCCAAATTTGAATAACTCTAGTGTTGAGATGGATTCGATTCAATTTAAATATTGTTGTGGTTAAAAAGTTAAGTACCCCAGCTTTTTTCATCATGCTAAAGTTGGAGATTTTAAACTTCTTTCCTTATTACACTAAAGATTGTTTACTGCTTCTTTTTATGATAGAGATTCATTTTAAGCATATTATGTATTTCTTTTTAGCATCTTCCCGTGGACCCACCACCTGCAGGAGGATCAGCGGGACTGGTGCTATGAGACTTGAGTGGCAGCTCTGATTGCCACCCCCCAGACCCAGAAATGGATTAATAAAGGGGTAGAAAATGACATGACAGATTAATTTGAATAGATTATAGTATAGAATTATTAGTTTATCCTGTGCTCTGTTTTACTTGTGATGCAACAATAATCTTAATCTAATGTTGATCTATCGTCTTTGCAATGGTCATTTTAAGACTACCATATTTCATATCCATAATTAGTTTAAAGGCTAAGAGGAGTTATGTGAGAGGAAAGTGTCGTGTCCAAAACAATGGCCATCTTTGAAACTTAAACCCTTTTCAGAAATACAACTGTAAACAATATGGCACAACAAACACAAATAAATAATATTGTTCTATGATGAAGCTTAACTTGTAAATACTGAAAAAATCATGAAAGTCAAAAAGAGGCTTTTGGCTCTTGCTAATATTAAAATCAACAATCTCAGAGCACACATTTCACGTTGTTTGCATCTATTTAAAAAACATCCTTTTATTTCTCCTTGCTTTTGGCTCCCCATCTGTTGCTTCGATTGGATTTGATTTATTAATATCTAAATCACACATAGCCCTTTTAACTCCATGTTCGTCTGGATCGAAATCAACCTTGAGCCTTCTCTGGGTTTTAAAACTCCCATTGTCTGTGAACACAACTGTTTTCCCCCTCTCCTGGGAGCAGCAACTTTGCCAGGCCATGGGTGCAGCTTGCATAAATTGGCCATTTCTGCAGGTAAGAGATAAGGACAACAAAGGGAAACTAATTATCATTCAGTCTATGTTAAAACCTCAGGAAAAAGCTGCTACTCACAATAGTCCCTTATTGTCACAGTCGTAGCATTTAATATGATCTGAAGTGTGAGGGGCCCCGCTCATTCCCATCAGGTTAAATAGGCCAAGTCCTTGTGTGAGGCTTCAGTAGCTTTCCTCTGAGATGGCGACATATGCATGCTTAAAAAAAGTAAAAAAACAACAAAAAATTAGGGCCGGGACTTAAACGCGTTAAGTAAGATTATTATTATTATTTTTTTTTTATTGACGCCTTTTAATCGCCATGTCCCTTTTTGCACCACTGAATGTTTCTCACTGGATTGGTTTCAGACGGACCGATTGTACTGGAGCACTGCGCTACTTCCAGGCTTGTTCTCCGCAAATCTAACCTGTCTCCGAACCTCCCAATGACTCTGAGAAACACTGTTCCCACTGCTGTCTCTGTGCAAAGTGTCTAAAGTTTGTGTTTGGTGCGGTACTACACACTGCTGCAGCTGCACTTGCTTCGCTATGGTTTCCGCACTGGTTCGTGGCACAGTGAACATGAACAAAGACGCTGATGTGAACGCGTTGGTTGGTTTCTAAATATAGTATTGCTACACTTAATGGCACAAATTGCACTGGTCTGTTTGACTTGACAAAAATAAACAATATTTGTGTTGCTTAAGCTTATGTATTCATTCATTATTCAATGTTATACTAAAAATCCATGTGAAAAAATTACTTCTCACTGTTCTCAGGTCAAATAATTATATGCAATTAAAAATGCAATTAATTAATTACAAAGCCTCTAATTAATTAGATACATTTTTTAATCGAGTCCCTTCCCTACAAAACTGTAAGCCGCGGCTTTTTTCCCTCACTTTGACTCCTGCGGCTTATAGTAAGGAGAGGCATTTTTTTTTTTTTTCTGTGGCGCCTAAAACCTTTTGCCAAGTAACAGTAGACCGACACAATTGATGAGTAGTTCACAGTGTTCAAATTAAATTGTATGATATCTCAGTCATGGAAAATACTAGATAACTTGATTATGTATGCATTACCAAGACAAACATGTACGTATATGTAAAGATCATGTTAGGATTAGATAGATACTTGACCTACGGAGGACAACTGCAAGACAATACAAAGACTCTTGACTGTGTGTCCATGTTTTGACTACGATGTGACTGTCTCTGTGTGACACGTATGTCTTTCCATGTGTGAAGTGACAATGACTATATAAACTGTGTACTGACTCCATTTAGTCTGAGAGAAAGAAACATCGGAAACCACTGGAACTTGAGAAAAACTTAAATAAACCTCCAGAGTTTGGCGCACCACAATCCGTCTCTGTCTGGTTCATTCCTGACAATCACAAGCACAGTGAGAAAACAAGCATTTCTAATATGTATGTGTTTGTTATTGAGCGGATTCAATACAGTAAGTCCTCAATTGGAATATCTTTGTGTAAATATCTCATAGAATGAGTTGTTTTTTGGTTTGTATAGACATGAAAGTGAACAGAAAAATTGTGGATGTCGCTTCTTATCTCTCTGCTCGACACTTGAAGATTGAGAACAGCTGATCAGTGACACACTTTTCAATTTTTGAGACACAATTTTCAATATTACAAAGTAGGAATGGTGCGGCTTGAACAACTAACAACATTCCGTTTTTTTCTAAAAAATTACACCCTGCAGCTTAAGATCAGGTGCGGCTTAGTGTGTGGATAATATGGTAACTTCATAGTACATGTGAAACTCTAAATCTAATATATACTGTTCAAAAGTTAATTTTCATTCCGTAATCTGTCCTGGACTAGTTCAAGGTTCAGACAAAAGTGGAGTCCACGCAAGTTTTTTTTTAAATAGAAAAAAAATATAATTAAAGCCGCAAGCGGCGTCGAACGGCCCTCGCCGCACCGCGCAACTCCCCGCACCGCGCGCACCCCCCGCAACGCGCGCACCACCCCTTGCCAAGCCACCCCGCACCACGCCGTCCCGCATCACGCCGCCCCGCACCAAGCCGCAACGCGCCGCTCCACAACGCCCCGCACTACGCCGCACCACACCGTACCACGCAGCACCGCTCAAAGGAGGTGGCGCCGCCGTGTGATGATTTGTTCCCGTAGCCATAGAAGATTGTTAGTCAAATTGTAATGACTATGATAAGTAGAGCTGGTTTGGCTCCCCATGTAAACTTTGATTCAGTCTGTAGGGGGCGCTAATGGGCCAATTTCAAATATTTCACTTTCACCTGACCTAAACCCTGGAGTTGAACAATGGATTCAAGTTTAATGCAAATCAGACTTTGTTTGTCTAAACGGGAAAAAAATTAATGTTGTCAAAAACGGCAAAAAAAACCCTCACATTTTGCTGCTCCGCTGCTCAAACAACGTTTCACTGATCAAAATTCCCTGAAGTAATTTTGAAGGTAAATGTGTTGAGATGATTTGGAACAATTTTGAGGCCAATCGGTGAAACGGCGGAGGAAGAGTCGCTTACCAACCGACGTGTATGAAAATGATTGGTTTTCATTTTTCCATTTTGCAATGAAATTTATGGGCTTCCTGTTTGTCAGAGGGCTTAGCCATAATTACATTTTTTCCATGACTTGACTTGAGGAACATGTGTTCCAAATTACATGGTTCTATGACAATTTTGACCTCAAACTCCTCCCAGAGGCATTTTTAAATTGGCTGTTGTAGGTGGCGCTATAGAGCCAATTTCTAAATTTTAAATTTCAAATGACCTAGACCCAAGAGTTGATCCATGGATTCAAGTTTTGTGCAAATCAGACTTTGTTTGTGCAAACGGAAGCAATTTTTCTATCGTCAAAAACTGAAAAAAAATACGCCACTTTTTGGCGCTCTGCTGCTCGAAAAATGTTTCACTGATCAAAATTCCCTGAAGTCATTTTGATGGTACATGTGTTGAGATGATGTGGAGCGATTTTGAGGCAAATCGTGTGAAACGGCCGTGGCTGGTTTGATGTTTGTGTGAGGTGTACATTTGCAAAGAATGGGGAGCGTTTCTCGTCGCCACGGCAACAGGGTAAAAAATAAGCCTTGGACCCAATTGACTTTTTGAATCAAGAGGGCAAAACAGATTTATGTGCAAAATTTCAAACATTTTGAAAAAACTAAATTTGAAAATGCCCATCTAAAACTTTGAAATAGTCTGTAGGGGGCGCTAATGTGTCAATTTGAATTAATTCACTTTCAAATGACCTAGACCCTAGAGTTCAACAATGTATTAAAGTTTTGTACAAATCAGACTTTGTTTGTTCAAACGGGAGCAAATTTAATGTTGTCAAAAACGGCCAAAAAAAGGTCACATTTTGCCGCTCCGCTGCTCAAACAATGTTTCACTGATCAAAAATCCCTGAGGTCATTTTGAAGGTACATGTGTTGAGATGATGTGGAGCGAATTTGAGGCGAATCGGTGAAACGGCCGAGGAGGAGTCGCTTTCCAACCGACATGTATGAAAACTTTTGCTGTTCATTTTTCCATTTTGCAGTGAAATTTATGGGCTTCCTGTTTGTCAGAGGGCGGGGCCATAATAATATTTTTTTCTTGTCTTGACTTGAGGAACATGTGTACCAAATCTCATTTTTCTACGACAAACTTGACCTCCGAAAAGTCCCATAGGGGTATTATTTTGGCTGTTGTAGGTGGCGCTGTTCTGTCATTTTTTGAGTCCCATAAAAATAAACACCAAATCTTACAAACCCACCCACCTCTCTATAAACAAAACACATCTCCCTACCCAACTCCCCACCCAAAAACCTTACAACTCACCCACAATCCAACACCTACCCATCAATAAATACCCCCCAAAATAACCATACACACCACCCCCACCCCCCCCCCCCAACCCCCAACAAAACAACCCCCACCCCACAAAACAACCCCCACCCCACACAACCCCAAAAACCCATCACCTCCCCCAAACCCCACACACACCCACCAAACTACCCCCAAAAAACATAAAAAAAATATCAAAACCCAACCCCCACCCCAATCAACACCCCAAACAAATAAACAACCAACCCCAACCCCCCCCCTACTCCAACATCCCAACCCCACTACCCATAATCCAACTTTACCATATCCAACCACTAAAACAAACCCCCCAACCCCCACCCAACCCCCCCAACCCCTCCTTCCCCAACAACAAAACCAACCCCCACCCCCTCCCCCCCCCCCCCCCCCTTCACAAAATACCCACCCATTCCTCACTCTAACAACAAAATCTAAAATAAACCTAATCAACTCCCTCATCTACAAATCCAATCACTCATATTCCCTTAAATCAAATAACACAATTACACAACCCACCCCAAACACATACATCACTATTACAAACACCCACCCTCTCATTAACCCCAACAACCCTCTCCCAACCCCAACTCCTACCCAAAACCTACAACATCCTACTTAATAAATACCCCCCCTAATACAAAACCCCTCACACCCCCACCCCCCCCCCCCCAACCCAACACCCCCAACAACAAACAACCAACATAAAAATAATAACACACACCCCCACACAAAACCACTACCACAAAACACAACAAAACACACCCCCCCCACAACACCCCCCCCAAACCAAACCACAACCCCAACAAACACAAACCCAAACCCACACCCACCCACCCACCAAAACCCACCACACCCCCCCCAAACATACCCACCACCACCAAACCCCCACACACCCACCCCCCAAAAACCCCCAAACCACCCCACCCCCACAAACCAACACCAACACAACCACCCCCCACCCACAAACCAAATAAAAACCCCCAAACAAAAAAAAAAAAAAAACATCTCCAACCCACCACCAATACAACAATAACCCTAAAATCCTTAACAAAAACCCAACACCCCCCATACCCAACCCAATCCCCAAACAAAACAACCCAAAACCAACCCAACAAAACAAAAAATAATAACCAAAAAAACTCCAACCAACACCAAACCCCAAATAACAACACACATAATCCAACCCATAACCCACCCCCCCCCACTTCCACCCCCCCCATCAATCCACCCATACAAAACTACTAACCCCCCCAAACAACCCCTAAACCCCCCCAATCACACAATATCATACCACCCACAAAACAAACACCACCCCCCCCAAAACCCCCCAATAAAAACAATACAAAACCCCACTCCCCCCCCCCCCCAAAAAACCCCCCCCTAACATAATACCAACCTAAACCCATCACCACCCCCATCCCCTTTTCTATTACCCAATCCCAAACCACCAACACCCTCCCCCCACACAATCAACTTCCACCACCCAAAAACCCCCCCCCCCCCCCAAAAAATTTCCTCCATCTACCCTCATCTCTTCCCCCCCCCCCCACACACCCCACCCCCCCCAAAAACCCCCACCCACCACCACCCCCAACCACAAACCACCCCAACCAACACCCCCCCCACCCACAACACACTCAACCCCAACAAAACCCCCCCCAAACAAACCACAAAACCACCCAAACACCACACCCACACCCAAACAACACAAAAACAACCAAACACAAAAACAAACCCCCAACCAAACCAACCCCCCCTAACAAAACCAACACCCCCAAACCCACCCCACCACACACCAAACCAAAAACCAAACAAAACCAACACCCCCCCCCATCCCCCACCCAAAACCAAACCACCCCCCAAACCCCCCCAAAACAACCCCCAAAAACACCAAAAAACCCACCCCACCAAAAACAAACCCCCAAAACCACCCCCCCACAACCCCCCCCCAACCCACCAACACACCCAAAAAAAAACCCCCAAATCAAACCCCAACACAAAAAACAACCCCTACACAATACACAAACCCAAACCCACACCCCCAAACAACCACCCCCAACCCCACCACACACCCCCCCCCACACAACACCCCCCAAACAAAACCAACAACCAAAAAAAACCCCCCCCCCCCAAACACCCCAACCCCAACCCCCAACCCCACCCCCACAACAACACCCCCACCAACCCAAACAAAACCCCCCCCCCCCCCCCCCCACCCCCCAACAAACCCCCAAAAAACCCCAACCAACCCCCCCCCCCCCCCCCCCCCAAAACAACCCACACCACCCCACCAAATCAACCAACCAACCAAACACCAACTCCCCCCCCACCCATCACAACCAACCCCACACCCAACCCCCCCCCAAAAAATACCAACAAACACCAAACAACCACAAAAACAAATTTACCACACCAACACCCCCACAAACAACCCAACAAACCCACTAAACTCCAACACCCCCCCAAAACCACAACAAAACCCAAACCCAAAACACACCCCCCAACCCACCACCAAACACACACCCAACCAACCCCCCCCAACCCCAAACCAAATACCAAAAACAAAACAAAACCCACAAACCCAAACAACACCAACCCCAAAAAAAAACAAACAAAACAAAAAACAACCCCCACCCCCCCCCCCCAAACAACCCAAAACCCAACCACCCCCCCCACACCCAAAAACAACCAAACTAAAACATTCAACAATCATACCCCCAAAACCCCCCAACCCCCACACACCCACCAAAAAAAAAAAAAAAACCCCCCCCCCAATCAAAAAAAAAAACCACCCCCAAACCCACCACCTCACCCCCAAAAAAACCACCCCAAAACCAAACCCCCCCTCAACAACCCCAACACATCAAAACACAACAACACCAAACCCCCCCCCATAACCCCCCAAAAACCAAACCACAAAAACCCCCCCAATACAACCCCCAAATTCCAACAAACAACCCCCAATATCAAAATCAAATTCCACCAAAAACCACAATCCAACAACCAAAACCACCAATCCCCAAAAACAAACTATAATACCCCCCCCCCCCAAAACTACTAAAACCCCCCAAAACCCCCCCCAACCCCCCCCTCTCAAAACCCCCCCCTAAACCCCCCCCACATACCAAAACCCAAACAAAACCCCACACACCCTCCCAACCCCCCCTCTACACACACCCCACAAACATTAAAATAATAATCCCCTCCCACCCCTCATTATCCTTACCACTATCCCCCCAACCCCCCAATCAACCCCACCCACATATAACAACATAACCCCCCCCCCCCATTAATATATTACCTACCAATACATATCAACCCCCCCAACTCAATAATTAACCAACTACCTCTCAATAATAAAACAAAACATACTCTCATATTCACAACCAAAAACACAACCAACCACCAAATCCCAAAAAACCATAAACAAAACATCAACATAAAAAACATAAACCAATATCCAACAACCATCAATAATCAAACAACACCTCCTTACAAACAACCCCAACAAACTACCCCCCCCAAAACCAACCACCCCCCCCACCCACAAAATCACAAACCCCACTAACCCCCAAACCCCCCCCCCAAATAAACAAAAATATTACACCCCACCCACCCTTCCCAAATATCACCAAACCTAAAAAAATATCCTCAAACCACCTCTTCACCACCCCCCCCCCCCCCCCCAAACCCCCCACCAACCCCCCACACAAAATCATCCCCCATCAAAAACCAAATCAACAAACACCCATAAAACCATACATCACCCCACACCCCCCACACTAACCCCACAAACCACACAAACCCCCCACATAAATACCACAAATAATACAACCTCCCACAACAACCCACAAAAAAACACAACCACCCACAACACCCACATTAAATCCCAAACAACACTAAATACCAAATATCCAATTTCAAAATCACCATACCCACAAACCAAACATCCCCCCCCCCCCATCCCCCACCACCCCCAATAACCACAACAAAACATTCCTTACCCCCTAAAACCCCCCCCACCCAACTAATCCCCTTCTATCCCCATACCAACCCCCAAACTCCCCTAAAATTTCATCCATACCCCACAACAACCCCCAACTACAACACCCACCCCTTTTACCAAACAAAAAATCCTAAAAAAAAAAATTTTACCCTAACCAACCCATAACACTCACAAACCACCCCCCCCCCCCCCCATATCAATCCCCCCCCACTCCCTCCCCAAAACTCCAACCCCCCACACCATCCCACAACAACAAAAACACCCCCAACCCACCCCAACAAAACCAAAAACAACCACAATAAAAACCCACCCCACACCCACCCAACAAAACAACCCACAAACCAACAACACACCCCAACTACCAAACCACCCCCCAACCCCCCAAAAACCCAAAACCAACCCCCCAAAAATAACCCCCCCACACACCACCCCCAACCCACCACCCCAAACCCACCCCCATACCTCCCCAAACAACCAAAACCAACCCAACATACCCCCACAAAAACCAACCAAAAAACAAAACCCCCAAACAAACACCCATCACCCCCCCCACCACAACACCACAACCAAAAACAACACACACCCCCACCCCCCCCACCCACAACCCAACCCCAAAACCCAACACACCCCCCCCCCAACACCCCCCCACCACAAAACACAAACAAACCCCCCCCCCAAACCAAACCCCCCAAAACAACACCCAAAACAAACCTCACACCACCAACACCAATACAAACCCAAAACCACCAACACCCCCCCCCAAACAACACCCAACCAACACCCCCCCCAAACAAAAAACACACAAAACCCCCAACACCCCCAACCCACCCACCACACCACCCAAAACCCCCCCAAAACCCCAAAAACCCAAACACAACCCTACCCCCCAAAAAATAATCCCACACCCCCCCACCCAAACAAAACCCAAAAATTATAACACCCCACAAAACAACTTAATACACACCACCCCCCCCCAACCCCCCCCCCCCCCAACTAAACCCCCCCCCCACAACCTACCACCCCAACCCACCCCCAAATCAACCCAAATCTACCTCCTACCACAACCCACAAACAAACTCAACACAATTCACACCCAACCAAAAACACCCCCCCCCTCCCCCCAACATTCAAATACTATCAACACCTAAACCCTTAAAACCCCCCCCCCCCACACAATTACCCACCACCCCTCAAAAAACACCCCCCCACCCACATCAACACCACCCATACACACCCCACACCTCATATAACACACCCAAAACACAAAACACACAAAAACCAACCCCCCAAAACCCAAAATATAAACAAACCCATCCAAAACCACCACAAACACCCCAATCTCACAACCCCCTCATATTCCCCCTCCTACCCCCCCCAACCCAATCCCACCCAAAACAAAACAACCAACTAACAACACCCCCAAATACCCAACAAAACAACAAAACACAACCCAAAAAACAACACCCCACTACCACAACAACCCAAAAACAAAACCAACCAACACAACCCACCCAACCCCACACACACACCCAACCCCCCAAACAAACACCAACACACACAACAAACACCCACAACCCCACAACACACAAAAACATACACCCCCCCCCAAACCACCCCCACCCACACCACAACCCCCCCCCCCCCAACACCAACCCAAAAAACCCCCCCCACAAAAACCCCCCCCCACCACACCAAACCCCCCCAACAAAACCCACACCCCCCCCCCACAAAAACCCCCCCAAACCAACAAACCCACACACAACCCCACCCACACCCCCCACACACACAACACCCCCCACCAAACAACACCAATCCCAAAACACCCAACCCACAACCCAACAAAAACACCACCACCCACCCAAAACCCACACAACCCCCCCCAACACCCACACCCCCAACAAATCCCAACCCCCCCCCCACCACCCCAACACAACAACCACCCCACACCCCCCCCCCAACAAACCCCCCAACACCCAAAACCCAACCACCACCCACCCCCCCCCCACCCCCACCCACAACACCCCACAAACCCCCCAAAACAACAAAAACACACCACCAACCAACCCACAAACCAAAACAACCCAACAACACACACCACCCCAACCACCAACACAACCAAACCCCCCCCCCACCCACAAACAAACCCACACCCCCCCCAACCCCAACCCCCCCCCACCAAAACCTAACACCACCCCCACACACCCACCAAAACAACACAAAACATAACCCCACCTACCCCCCCAACACACCACCCCCCCCCACCACCCACAACACAAACACCCCCACCCCAAAACCCACACCCCCACAACACCCACCCCAACCACCACCAAAACCCACCCCCACCACCCACCAACAACAAAAAAAACCAAACAACCCAACCCACACCCCACCCAACAAACCCCACACACCAACCCCACCCACAAAACCCACACCCCAACAACCAAAAACCACCCCCACACCCCCCAACCACATCCACAACCCACCCCAACACAAACACACCAAACACACCAACAACAACCCAACCACAAACCAACAACCCCCACCAAACCCACACCCCCAAACCCACAAAACCCACCAAAACCCACACACCCCCACCCCCCCCAAAACCCACCACCCCCCCCACACCACCCCCCACCACCACCCCCCCCAACCCACCTCAACCCAACCAACAAACCACACACCCACCACAACACCCCACCCCCCCCACACCCACCCCCCCCCCCCCCCCCCCCCCCCCACCCAACCCCCCCCACCACACACCCCCACCCCCCCCCAACCCCCCACCCCCAAACCCCCCCCCCCCCCCCCCCCCCCCACCCCCCAAACCAAACAAACCCCCCAAACCAAACAACCACCCAAAACACCCTCCCCAAAAAAAAAACACACCCCCAAACCCAAAAAACCAAAAAACCACCAAAAAAACAATCACACCCAAAAAAACAAACACAACCCCAAACCCAAAACCCAACCCCACACCCAACCCCACACCCCACCCCACCCCCCACCCACCCACCCCCCACACCACCCCACACCACCACCCCAAACACCCACAACCCCCAACAACAACCACAAACCAAACCCATCACCCCCCCCCACACCCCCAACCACACCCACCCCCCCCCCCCCACACCCACCAAACACAACCCCAACCTCACCCCCCCACAAACCCACCCCCACCCAAAACAAACCCCACCAAACCCCAACCCCCCCCCCCCCCTAACACCCCAACCCACCACCACAAATCCAAAAACCACCAAAAAAAACAACAAACCACACCCCCACAACCACTACATAATAACACCCAAAACTAATATTCACCACCACATAAATAAAACAACAACATCAACACCAACCAACAAACAACCAACCCCCAACCCCACAACACAACACCCTAAAAAACAACCCAAACCAACCTACATACACCAACACCAAAAACCCCAAACACACCACAAAAACCAAACCCCCCCAAAAACAACCCCAAAACCCTAAAAACCCCTACCCCAACAAAACACAACAAAACCCCCACTCCCCCACACCACAAAAACCCCACCCAAAAAAACCCCACCCCCCTATACCAAAAACTCCAACCACACCCAAACCCTCCCCCCTATCAAAAAACATCCTCAAAACACAACCACCCCCCCCCCCCCCCCCCCCCCCCCACCTTCCTCTCTAAATATTCACACCCACCCTTACATACCTATTCCCTCCACCCAATATTTCATACAACCCTTAAAACACCCTACCAACCAAACCAACTAACATCATACCCCCCTACCCCCTACCCACCCCTCATCAATCCCACAAAACCCCCTACCCACTAAAAATAACAAAACCCTCCCTAAACATCATCATCCCCCCCCATCCCCCCCCCAACCCCCAACAACACAACCCCCCTTCCCCAACCATCACAACCCCCCTACCCTACCTCCAATACACCCACCCCCCCCATCCCCCCCCCCACACCCAAACATAATCCATCCCCCCTACAACAAACCCCAAACACACATACCACAACTCCAAACAACCAACCCCCACCACCATTCCACAAATTACCAAAACAAACAAACAAACACCAACCCCCCCCTTTAAAAAAACCAAAACAACACCCATCACAAATCTTCCAACAACAACCCCCCACCACCACACAACCCCCCCTCCAACCCACAAAACTAACATCCTCCCCCCTTCTTAACCCACCCCCCCCCCCCACAACCACATCCAACTCCCCCTACTATCATAAAAATTAACCCCCCTTCCCTACCCAAAACATTCATATACACCCCCCCTCTAATACCTACCAAAATTTCCCCCCCACAATTCCCAAACATAATCCCAAAACCGCGTTCCTATCGCGGGAAGGTGGTGACGGAGTAAGTCCTGCTTGGGTAGGAAACAAAGGAGAGAGAAGAGACGAGATGACATGTTAATAGATGTACATAGTGTCGCTTGCTTTGTGACCTGTGCATCGCGTTGGCGGATCCGGATCTGGGCGGGTTGCCCCCATCTGTGGCCACCAGCTCCACAGTGTAAGAGGACTGTGTCTCTCTGTCCAGCTCCTTCATTAGCACCAATTCCGCATATTTAACCCCATCCGCTCTTTGGAGCACATCTATGGTAAAGTGGCTGTTCACAGAAACCTGATAGCTCTGGATGTAGTTGGAGCCCACGTCCGCATCCACTGCTGGGTCCAGGGGGATCCTGGAGCCCACCAGAGCATTCTCAGAAATCTCCACTATAGACTCCCTGTTTGGAAACTCCGGGGAGTTGTCATTGATGTCCTTTATTTCCACCTCAACGTGAATCAATTTGTAGCGCTCTTTTGAAAAATTGACCACATCAAAAGTAATGAGACACTGTGGAGAGTGCCTGCACAGTCTCTCCCTGTCAATTCGTTCTCCCACACTGAGCTCCCCGTCGCTTTCTCTCACTCTAATAAATGAATCGTTGAATTGTTTCATCATCCTGAAATTGGACTTAGAAGAGTGAGACAGACTCAAGGACATGTCCTTGGCCAGGTTTCCGATGACAGACCCTGGCGCGTTCTCCTCGTTTGTCTGATAACGGATAGTATTTCCCTCAGATGCGCTCAAAAAGACAAAGAATAACTGATAAAGAAAAAGGCTGAAAATCCACTGGTTCCGACAAGTGAAAGTCTTGGGTCCCATCGTGCGTGCGGAGCAGTCCGTCTCGGTGCGCAGCCTCATCCTCTCTGAAAGCCGAGCGCTCACGTCTGGAGCCAGCTCTCCATCCAGCTGCCGCTCTAATCAGCGCACAACTGTGCCCAAAGTGAAAGTTACTCGCTCCTTGCGCGCAGCAGCCACTCAGATACGCTTGTTGCCTCGCCTTCAACACAGCTCCAAACTCTGCAGTGGCGGGGTTTATACGGCTCCTCATGCTAATGAGAACAAGTGTGACCAATCCCTCGCTTTAGAATTAAAAATACCCCCTCTAAGGCTGTTTTTAGAGAAGCAACTTACAGAATAGAGGCGAGCAGTGATATGGCTGTATAGCTCTGAGAAACGACCAGCACCCTTATCACCTTTTCACAGCAATTAGAGACTGACTTTTACAGCACACTTTTATTTAGACGGCGCCGTTAGGCATGTGCGCGTCTTACGCACGGGCACCACGGACAGCTCCAGTGTTTCTAACTAAGGAGCGTTTATTCAGTTGAGGACATCTTAATTATCGGGTGACGTACTCCATAATGAACTGTCAGCTCGTGTGAGGGAGTAGTGGCCCCATCCATCACTTTCAGGCTACAGCAAAGGGCACGTTCTGGGGATTTGCAAACGCACACATCATAGATCATGTTTTAGGCAACTTTTGAGTTACTGAGGCAACTATAGTGAAAAAAAACCGTCATAGTGCCATATAAATACGAAATGTGCAGAGTCCCGGGATTACTGCACAGTGGAGCTTGTAAAATCCAGATTTCACAGTCTTATAAAATATGCATCTACATATGCACTGCAGACAGGGGACATATGGGTGAACAGGAGACACATCTCGGTGTGCATTCATTAAGTAGTTTATTATGTATCAAACTAGGTTATAGTGAAGTTAATATGGGGCAGCACATATGAAAGCAGTGCTGCCCCATACCGTGTAAAATAAAAATCTGTGAGAATACATGTTATTAGCATTGTTAGATTTAGCCCTTTTCAGCCTGATGTTGCCTTCATCACCGGCTTTCACATGCCAATATGGGCATGTAGTGGCATTGAAGTTCTATGAATAGTTTTGTCGCATATTGTTGTGAGCAGAGTTGAACGATTCCCTGAAGATCATGCATTAGATTAGATCGATCTCAGCTAGAGAACTATCCAAGGCTCTAGTCATTGTTCAACTTTCTATGACGTATCCAGCTGCACTATAGTCCTTTTGTACTACTTTTATAAAAACATTGATTATGGCACAAAGCAGTTGTTTGAGGCATTACAGCTCAGGGTTTCTTTATTACCAGACTGTAGCACAAAGTTCACCCCATTGTTCTAATGTCTATTCTGTGCTGTATACATTGTTTTACATTCAGACACTGTCATCTTTGCCTTCAGCAGTTCCAGAATGCTGTTTCTTGATTGCTCACAGGGAACCACATTACCCCTGTGCTGGCCTCATCCCTAACTCCCTATCACATTCAGGATTTATTTTGAGATTCTGATACTTGTTTTGAAATGTTTGGATGGTTTAGCCCCTGTATATTTTACACAGCTGGTATCTGTGTATGCTCCTAGATCAGAGAGGTCAGAAAATCAGCTTTAGTGGAACATACCCAGGTGGGCTCGACCTTTTGCTGTTGCTGCCCCCAAACTGTGGAATAGTCTACCTCTGTACAATGGAAGATCCCGCATTGAATGTTTTTAAATCTAGCCTAAAGACACATTTGCACGTCTTGGCTTTTAACACCAACAAAGTTCTGCTGTTTCACATTCTACATGTGTGTATTTCATGCTGAATCACTTTTGGCTGCTGGTGCTGTTGTAAATGTGCCCAGTATTTAAAGTTGACATTGACATCTAAAAATGTCATGAAATTAAAGCACAAATGCACATTTTGGCATCCGTTGGCCTAAGAATAAACTGTAGACTGTGCATAGGATGAACTTGTAATGGCAGCGTATAAGCTAAGCCCTATATGTCCAGACATGTAGACCAGATGTCGCTAATGCTCTTGTGGTTGTAGGGCGAAAGGGTCTCGTCACTTACAAAGGTTTTAACATTGTCAATAGCTTTAGCCTTAAGGGGAATTAACAGCACATAAGCTCATCCGAACAATGCAAACAATAGAATGCAAGTATCTTCAAAATGTACAGTAAGGAAAGGAAAGCCATGTTTTATTTTTTTAGTGTCAGTCCATACACAAGGTCACTCAAAGTACTTAACAAAACAAGAAAAGAAAATAATGTGATTTTCTTAAAATCCTAAATACACACAGGACATTTAAAAGATATGCGGCACTAAGAACCTCACGGATGTACTTTGGTGCGAGGCCATGGAGAGACTTGTAACAAGCAGAGCTGATTTAAAGTCTATTCTCTGAGCCACAAAAAGCCAGTGCAGAGACCTGAGAACTGGACTAATGCGATCGTACTTCCTGGTTCTAGTCAGGAATTACATTGTCATTTTACATTGGTTATCGTTGATTCACCTCTAGACCATGAAATGATTTATTTTGATGAAAATTGAAGGATACTCCAATAGTTTTGTTGTTGTTCAGAATGGCAAAGGTAAATCTATATCATAAATGATTTCACACAGTATTCAACTTCCCTGCTATCATTTTTTCCCATTACCACAGAACGCACATGTACGCCGACAGCCAGAGTCAACAAGTCAAACCTTGTTAGTCCGTAGATGAGCGGAGTATAATGACCTGGTTGCATGAAAAACATTTGTCGAACTGTTATTGACACATATCTCAATGAACTAGAAATTCTTCCAATTACGTGTGGGCAGCCAGCGCTCTCCTGTCGGGTGGTGCGAAACCTCAGCTGGAGTCGATGATTGATTTTTCTTCATCACCATAAATAATGTTAGGTTTTCTTCATTTTCCTGGATTCAGCCTTGAGCAGTCAGACTCACAACACGCAGCGCAGACATATGGATGGTTATAATAAGCTATAGGTAGACCTTTGCTCAAACATTATCTCCAATTTACACTCCATTATAACAGGACTGTGGTAGTTAAGAATAATTCCTCGATCGTACGGCTGTGAACCACTTATTGAATAGCAGAAGCGCCATCGGCACAATTCAGACAATGTGGAATTTAAAGGCATGTAACAATAATTATATGAAATCCCCATTGAGGCGTGTCTGTAATGGAATTGGATACGGTAAACATCTAGGTAGGTGGGACACATCGCAGAACCAGCCTTATACGGCTAATGAAAAGACCCGCTGTGACGTCTCGCATTAGCTTCATAAAGTGCACATTATCGTCACAGGCCAATGAGGCAGCGTGTGTTAACGCAATTATATTTCAAGTTGATTTCAAGACACTTTCCATAGAACGCATGCACATTATGTATGCAATTGTAATCAGGGGAATATGATGATTGTATTAATTAAGGATACAGTTGTTTTAATCAATTCATTTCATTTTTGTATTGTCCTAAATCCCAGCAACAGTCGTCTCAAAGGACTTTACAAATTGTCGATTTGCCAATTACTGTTAGAGAATCATACAATTAAAACACAGGAAGTGCAATAGTAAGACACATTAAGGAGCGAGGTTTTGGTCCTCTGTCCTCAGACTCTTCTGCATCTGTGAGGAAAAACTCAAAACACCTGGGTGGTATGGTGGCAGAGTGGTTAGCTTGGCTAACTCTCACTTCTCAGAAACAAGGTCCTGTGTTAGGTGGTAGAAAAAAGTGAATACGTGTCCAAGCATGAATTAAGTTGTTAACAAATGTGATTGTTCCACTCTAACAAGGTTCAAATCCAGGTTAAAAACAGTTCTGTTTGGTTGTGCATGGATTGTATAATGCACTGTGATTTTTTGTGATTCTAATGCCTTATATAATCTTAATTTACTGCGTTGTTTTGTCGAGTTGTGTGTATGAACTGTATATGAACTGAGGTAAAGAAATACATTTGCTGTGCCTTGACATGGAGAAGTCGTCGGTCACATAACTAACTAGTTTATTAATGATTTCAATAAATACGTTTAAGATGCTTGGAAACACAAAAGTCCAAGGCATAGAACATATTCAAAAGTCTGTATTGTGCACCCATGTGTTTCAGGCAATCGTGGCCTTCCTCAGGATACAAACGTTTGTGTTCTTTAAACTTAGCCTTCACGGTGCCTTGGTTTTTGTTTTTAAAGATTTCTAAAACATAGTTGACTCCACTTCTCATATAACTGTGTAATTTCCCTACTGAGGGAGTAATGCAGCTGCTATTCATTCATTTATTCATAGATTTGTTTTTAAAGTAATGCAATTGAAAACAAGATGTGTTTCGTTTGTATATGCATTTGTCCACGTCCATAAACTTGATGATTATAAATATATAAAAATATATCAATTGTCGATCTACATTTTTCTGTGCTGCTTTGAGTTATGGTTTGGGGCAGGGGAGGAGGCTGCAGATGGAAATGCTAATGGTTGTACAAAGTGAATGTGCTTACAGTTAACCCCTGAGACAGACTAACATGCTCGTCCATACACGTGTGGCAGACGAGCAGTGACAGCTGTGACAAAGTGTGACACTTATGGCACTCCTCATCTTCATCACTATTAGACCAGTGCAGTTCAAAGCAGGTCTTGGCACTTCATTCTATATGTTACCTTAAAGACGTCCACACGGCTGATACCTGATGCGAACTGGCACATGTTGCCCACTGTTGCACATGAGGTAGCTTCATAAATAGCACACAATATTGGGTGAAGACCTTTCACTTTGTATTACTCTTTATCTTAAGATTCACCAAGAATCTTCACCAAGTACTGGCGTATTCATTTCATTTTTCAAGACAGGCATCATGCGTTCAAATATACCATAAGTACTGGACTATAAGCCGCCACTTTGTTCAAGTTCCTTAGACTCTTGCATAAGTGAAGCGGCCAATATATATAATTTTTGTTGTAGAGTTTCGCTCTGGGAGAAGGAGACTTTGGACACCACTCTAACAGCAGAGAGAGACGACCCAAGGAAATGCAGGGAAATACACAGGACTTGACAAGATTGATTATGGAGTTAATGTTTTGATCTCCCATATGGACAGGCCAGGCACCAAATTCAAATGTAGTGCCAGCAAAAAAGTAGAGAAGGCACCACACAGATGGTTTTAGGCACAAATGTGAGATGCTATCTAATTTGTAGAGAGCACTAAAATAAACATATTCAAGCAGTTTATAGGTTATAAAAAGATGATTTATTGTTTAGTTG